GGCCCCCCCTTCTCCCCCAGGAGGGGAAGAAAGCCGATCAAGTGGCTGGAGGTCTTCACTCATCCAGTAGGATCCATTGGCTGTCAAAGACCTGGTGCTTTCAACACACTGCTCGGGTAAGCTGCTGGTATTTTTAACCCGTTTTTGCCTCTGCAAACCCATGTCAGAGCCATGAGGGAGGTCTTGTGAAGTAAGATCAGGACCCCCAATGTAACCATCTTCTCTAGGATACAGGTATTCCTCATCCCAGAGGTCCAGGTGTCGTTCATCATCTGATTCCTCAGAATAATCCTCATGAACTCCTCCATTATTCTCCAAGTCCCTGTTCCTCTCTTCTTCTGACTTACGACCCACTCCACTCAAATTCAGCAGTGAATTTGATATAGAGTCTCCTGCTTGTTGGATAGCTTCGTATATTTGAGACATCCAAGAAGACAGTGGCTGAAGGAAATTCTGAGCAGCCTCAGAAGCCATGTTTAATACTATGCCAGTATCTGGTGATCAGTTGTTCAGCTTTGCCAGCATGTCACTTATAATTCAGGGAGCTACAGAATAAGCATCATAAGAGATTACTGTAAATTGCTTGTCCATCAACACCTGTCGACACACTATCTACATAAGATGTCTAGAACTGAGAGGAGAAATGGAAAAAGGACTTCTACCCATTGAGAATACCACCAGAAAGCCATAAATGATGGACAAATTACACATCTTCCTGCAGAGATCTGGAAAGCTTTCATTCAATTACTAAACCTTATATAAAAATAAAAACATAGAACATTAGAGTAGACGTACCTTTTCTGAAGCGCACACATTCTGGTTACAGCTGTCAATAGACCTGGTAAAAAAAGTACAAAACAACCTGCAATCAAAAATCTCAAATAATCTCCTGGCCCTGACTCCCACCACACCCTTAGCATTAGCATGTCCAGATGGAGAAATCTGGTGGAGAATTTGGGGAGAATTATGTTTTGATTTATTAAAATGACAGGCCTAAAGCACGAAGAACCAGCCCATGGCAGACAACCATCTCAAATGCTTTGCTCCAGAAAGGCTCTGAAGAAGCCCCCTCTGCCCACAGAGTAACACAACCCAGAGTGGTTTTGCCCTTCAAAGAAATAAAAAATAAAATAATTAAAAAACCACAAAAAACCCCCACCCAGCAACACAGGAGGTGGAATATTATAGGTATGAAATTACTGGGAACAGGAGTTAACAAAAGCATTGGTATCACATCTATATGATATGTTTTCTCAAAACTCATCTAAACCCTAAGTAAAAACATAAGTTGCAGAAAGTTAAGGTGCTTTTTTTGCCCAATATACATCTTCCCACGTTATCACAAGACAGATATTCTTTTAGGAACTCTGAGAAGAAGGAAAAATCTATAGATAGGATGATGGGGTTAGGAAGAAAGAATCAAATAGTTGCAGATTTTAGGCCAAAAGACAACTAAAATGAAGGAAAAAGAAGCTTCAAAATTAATACCAGCATCTTGCTGAATTTAGAGGTCTAGGAGCCATCAAACTATAAAAGGATAAATACAATATAAGCAGCAAGAAAATAAGCTCAGCAGCAATGTGTGTTACCCTGTGAAATGGTCTCCACAGTAATGTAGTGGAAATCTCAGTGTTTTGGGTTTTTAAATGGAGCATGGACAAGGAGATCCCACCTTGCTTAGGGAGCAGCTTCTGTACATATGAGATCTTAAGAGGTCTTCACCTTCTGAAACACCTGCCCTGAATATTTTTGTTCAGTAGTGTTGACTTACAGTGCAGACACTTCCAACAAGTTTACAATCAGCTTCAGTACGTACTAAGAATTACAGTCCTGACAAGGGCAGTAAATGAACGTAGGTTACTAGAGCCATTTTAAAAGCTGACGGCTGTTACGAACTCTTTGGGCTCGGGGCACGCACTGTTCCAGTATCCACCTGTCAACTGCTGGCCTCTGGCTCAGCCGCTGGGACCCGGGTAACGCTCCCAGCCACGCATTAAGTCTTTGGCAAAGAACAGACCACATCATGGCGTAACCTCCCATGTGCAGTCTTCCCTTCATTGGCTCTCCTCTTCCCAAGCCTGCCCTTGGTGAAGCCTCTCTGCTTTGTGCAACTTATTTTCTCATAGACCTAAAGTGATTACACAGTCCAAACATTTTCAGCATAATGCAGATTTGCTACTGGTAAGTCACAGCACCAGAGAAGTCACTGCAAGGAGATGGTACTTGTAACAGTGAGATGCTTCCATGCATGGAAGGAGATAAATTTGGGTGGCTAAGTACTGGATACACTTTTAGCCTGTCATTTATTTACAGGCAACAGCAAACAAATCTCTGATTTCTGATGAAAGAACAGCTTCATAACTCTCTGTCTCCCTCTCAGCAGCAAGATACAGGAGGGATGCAGGCATCCAGGAGTAATAGCTAACCAATGCAGATAAAACATATGGGTGCTAAAATGAAGCGCTGATCTGTTCTAAAAACCAACAGAACATAGACTTGTGATATTTGCATAGGGAATAATTAGCTCCTCTAGTTATTAGATTTCAGAGCTAACACTCAATTGGTCCAACAGAGCCATCCCACTACTCCCAGATGATGGCTGACTGCACCACAGCTCAGGCAAACGTCACGGTCCTGCACAAGAGACTCCGCATGAGGGAAGTTGGCATCACAACCAGAAAGACAGAGGGAGTTTTTCAAGGTGAGATTTTATTTCAGTCATGGAATTAAAGCAGTGATCTACAGTCACCTGCACGGCTTTGATGTGGTCACCCTGTCATCCAAAGAGGCAGATGAGACTTGAATGTACATCTTTCATACACCAAGTAGTTGCCTCGATCATCTTGCTGTAAGTAGGCTGGGGGGAATCACGACACACACACATATGTATAAACACACGCACAATTCTACCCAAGATCTGGAAATTTGTCTGGATTAAAGCCGGAGAACCCCAACAAATGGTTTGATTTCAGTTTATACACAAGAGATAGACATTGAAGTATATTTCACCCAAATAATCCGAACCGTTTTGCAGTAAGACCTGCAACGCACCTGTACACCTCGCAATCCAGTGCCTATGTAAATCCCGACAGGCAAAAGCAACGCAATTTCCAGGGTGTCTGACTCTGTTGAGCCTTTGCTTGCCTTTTCCTCCCGTCTTCTCTCTCTTACCGAAGGCTCCGCAGTCAGCGATATGCTGAACAACTGGAGTTCAACTGAATTATAAATCGCTTATTTTTGGTCTTGCAGCAGATGGATAAAATGTATAACAAGCTGCAGACAAGTTTAGGCAGGCAACGTTTTTACAAACTCAACAGAGGATCAAAGGGGGCTGAGCTCTGTTATAGGCTTGCTGTTTCCCAGGAGCTCTCTCCCTTAATTAGCCCACACTGCTCTAACAGGGTGTTTATGATATCTTTCACAACATGGCCTTTTCAACATAACGGATTTTTACTTTTGAATTCTCTAACAATTTTGACTTGCATTAGAGAAAAAAAAAAAGAACTGAGAAAAGCATTTAAAATGTGTGGGAAAGAAAAATCCATTTCTTTTTAAAAGCATTCATCAAAAAAGAGAGAGGAAAAGAACCAGCAAATTCACTTCAAGTTCCATCTTCTAAAACTAACCACAAGAATTTTCACACTGAATCGCCTGCTTAACTCAAAGTTGGGGTTTTTTTTATCTCTTGGAAAATCAGATAGCTAAAAGGATCAATGTTAAGCCTCTCACAGAAACCATCATAACCTTTACTACAATCTATATTCCCTCGTCTTGATAGGATCATTATTCCTGAGTAGCGTTCCCATTGAGAGGTGCAATTACTGTATGGCTAAAAAAAGAAGACTATGAGCAGAATTTCAAACACTACCACAATGCAGAGGTTTGTAATATTAGCAAAGTGTCTTTCAATCTTCTTGATATGCAGGCTCCTAAAAAATTGCCATCAGATAAGCATTTCTTACAATGATTTCCCTTATTCAAGCTGTTGTGGAGCGTAGGCACAAACCCTTTTCTTCAGTCACTTTTTGTGAAGGCCCCTGCAGAAGTTTTCTACCAAACTCCTCCCTTGTAGGGAGACTTGTAGGCCACAGGTTGAAAACAGTGTCCCAGCATATAACAACTGAACAATTTTCAAGTGAGTGCTTATTTCTGAAACACTAGATGAGGAAGAAACCCACAGCCTCACCTCTACGGCCTGGGAATGTACTGTCCCATGTAGAGACACAAGAAGAGGAAATCGGCTCCCACCTTTGAAAGATCAGAAGACATCTTTGTCACATCACTGTTTTAGAAAGATGCACTACTTTTGCCACTGCCAAGAAAATTGTACCAAAAAGCTTTTTTTAGAAGTTCAGGCAAGTCGCTGAATCCATCTGTCCACAACTGAAACTCTGAGCACTGTGCTGGGTCACTGGTTTAGACCACATGTGCCTACAGGAATGATTCCTGCCTTCCCCACTTCTCAGAACTTTTAATTAAGCCACTGGTAACGATTTACCTTTATCCCCTGATCTCATGCAGAGAGCATCAGCCCACCCCC